GTATAATGACCAGTATCTACAATTGAGAACACTGTAAGAACTAATAAAAAAAAAAAATAAAAAAGAATTTAATTAAAAATTAGATAAAATTATACGGAATTACTTCTCTAGTATTATTTATAGGGTAAAGAGAAAGATATTTTTGTTTTATTTATAAGACATTGAGAGAAATTTTTTGTATGGATACACAATTTAACCTAATTACCTTCATATATATTATTGTGTTGACTTTATTTATATAAGGTATTAAGTATATTAAGTAAGAATAACATTGAAAAGTTGTTAAATTTTAAATAAAAGTTAATAAAATTTAAATTTTTTTATTTGTGTGGAATATGTTAAAAATGATTATAAATAGGACGGAGAAGTAGTATTGTTAATGTTTGTTCAAAATTGTGTGACTTTTATTTCGCTAACTTCAGGGTTTGAAGGCCAAAAAATGACGTTACTATTTAAAAAATGCTTTTGAGGAAAATACTATTCAATGCTCCTCTTATCCTATTTATAAGTCACTTTGAATATATTTTACACAGATTAAAAAAATCTTAAATTTTGTTAACTGTAATTTAAAATTTAACAAATTTTTAACTTTATTCTATTTAATATACATTATATCTCATTACAACAAAATTAACACAATATTAAATGAAACGTAAAATTATGTGTTTATATGAAAATTTCTCTCTACCTCATAAATAGAACTGCATGAGTATTTTATACATATATTGATATCAAAATATGTACTTGCACATAAAAAATGTATATTTACATAAATATCATTGGTTGATTTTATTTATATAATTTATTATTTATAATGAAAAATATTGATACACACTAATGCGGTTTGCGTGTAGTGTATCTAATTAGGTTACTTCCATGCATTAATATGTGCATTTTCCCCACATTTAACAAGGCGTAAAGAATGAAAATTTCAAACTTTTCATTATTATGATTTATATATGATTTCAATAATATAAATTCACATTACCTTAACTAAGGCGTAAAGAATGAAAATTCCGATAGTAAGGTGGTTGAGTAAACATGAATTGCTTGCTTTATTCATTTAGGAAACTTCGCGGTGATTTCCGATGACGTGACATAGCGAGAATTTTATTCATTAGTTTGAATTATTGCAATCTAAAATTATATTACACTCGTTTTCTCCCTCCCTCTATAAATAAATATATTTCTCTGGCCCTATCTATAGGACAAAGAGAGAAGATATCTTTTGGTTATATTTATAGGGCATTGAGAAAATTTTCTCGCATAGATAAACAATTTTACTTTTTATTTATTATTGTGTTGACTTTGTTTACATCAGGTATAAGGTTTTTAAATAAGAGTTAATAAAGTTTAAGTTTTTTTTTTGTTTGGGTGAAAACATACTGTAAGTAACTTATAAATAGGACTAAGAAAAGTATAATGATACAAGCATACACACATGTATATTACAAAAAGAGAAAAAGACAGTTAAATATCCTTGAATTATTGAAAATCCATTTCATTACCCAAATTGATAAAATGACACTCTATGAAACTATATGCGTTTGTTCATCTTTACCATATCTGCTTGGGAAATGACAAAAAAAAGAAGTTGGAAATTGTGAAATTTCAATTCAGGCAGCTAAAACTTCAAAATCCCAGTAAAGAAAGTGGTGCTTGATATGATATTTTGTAAATATAATTAAATGACTAAAATACTTTTATTTCAAAAAATTTATTAACAGGTTGTGAACTAATAATGACAAGTGTTGAATGGCAAATGACAAGAAATATACTGGTAATGATAAGTTATTTATTAACAAATCGTGAGTTGGCAATGATAAGTATTGAATAACAAATAACAAGAAATATATTGACAGTGATAAATTTGAAACAAGGGCATTTTAGTTATTTAACTATATTTACAAAATACCAAATTAGGCATGACTTTCTTAGAATTTTAAAGTGTTAGCTGCTTGAATTGGAATTTCATAATTTCCAGCTTTTTGTGTGTGTTTCCTATGTGCTTTTGATTTTGGCAAAATACTATATTATCGTTGCATATATAAAATTATTTAATAGATTACTTAAAGAAACTCAAAGGAGGTAGCTACTTATTTAATTTCAAATAAGTTTAGTTTTGTTATAATTATTGAATCATGAAACTAGGAGGCCTGGATAATATACATTTTGATTTTAAAAGGGATTCTTGTCGATTTTCAAAATAATGGAGGCATCTCTATAATTTGGATTAAATAGAAGAGGTATCAGTGTATTTTACTCTATATCTATCTATGAAAGTCTCTTTCGGAATGTCTATGTCAACATTAAAAAAGCAAGTAGATAAGAATTTGTGCCGTCCGGAAAAAGACATCAATTAATTCTTAAAGTAAAACCGGTTGCGTAGGTACCCACGCCATTAATTCTCGTGGAGGTCCTGAACTTATTGTCGGCTTTGAAGAACCGATCATAGCATGCCCAGAAAATGAAACAAGAATCGAGCAAGAAGAGCCCAATAATCGAAGCCGTAATCTTATCAGTGACAGGAGCAGCCGTTGTGGCACTGACTCAACTGCCTTACAGGAAGGTGGAAGGAAACCCGGTCCCAGCTATTCTATTCAACGACACCGATCCCTCCGTATTCCATGCTGTTATATTGTCTCTCAACTTTGGTTTCTTGGGTTCTTTCAATTCCCTTACACTTCGTCATGCATATCCCAGACTTGCCAACGCTTCCATGCTTCTCTCTGTTTTCTCCACCCTCTCCTGGGCTGCCATTCTCATCTACCTCACCTTTCCCATCTTCTTCGCTTTTGCCAGACGCATACTGATCTCTCTGTGTTTGCGTCTGAAGGAGATAGACATAACTTGAACGTGACTGAAAGAATATCGATATTCCCGCACGAAACGGAATCACACACCTTCATCTACATCTATGTATGTGTATATATGTATATGTGTACGAGCGCACAGATCTATGTGCTCTAATTCTTGTAATATTAACAGGTTTGGTGATGTATATGTTTATGATGATTGCTGTCAGGTTACTGCATAGTTAGGATTTCAGTAGGAAATTGTCATCTATATGACATAACATTCACAGATGCACCCTTCATGACATGATGTCGTCTTTGATTGTTGTTGCTAATTGCTTTAGGTAGCTATGTTGTCATGCTTGGGGGCATCATGTTTAATTAGCCATGTATATCTCCTCTCTGCTCAAAAATATATGTACTCCCAGATGTTAATTATGACTGTATATATGTTCATATATATATATATATATATATATATATCTCCGGTTATCTCTATTATTATCTCATAATATTTCCCACTCCATTATCTTACTTATATCCTACTATCATCGAATTAATTTGCAGATTTTGTTAAAGTTGAAGTTGTAAAGTTATGTATCACGTACTTGATATCTTGAAAATGAATAAGAAATATTTCTTTTCTCTCCAATTTTCTAATAATCTCTATGATTCTTTCATTCTCTTGTTGAATATTTTATCTTATGTTTTCTGTATTTTCAAAATACCAGAGACAATATATAAGAGGAGATGATTCCTCTCTTTTCCCTTCCCATTCTCTTCCCTCCTCTTCTTCTTTTGGAACCATTGCATAAACATTTGAATGGTTGATATTCTTAATCTTTTATAAAATTGTGGGATAAGATTGAGATTCATTTTGCCCTGAAAGTTTTCAGGGAGGAGCTGTGAGTAATTAGAAATTTTTTTAAAAGCAATGTTACTCTAAAAGTGCTACTTCGGTTCTAAATATAAAACCTATTTTACAGTACAAATTACACTACAAAGTAAGTCTTATATTTAAGACTGGAGGAGTATTAAAATAGGAGCAATGCCGCCCTACTTTAATAGATCCAAACAGTTAGTTAAACAATTACGTTGACGCGTTATGAACAGGTGGATCTAGCTCAGTTCCCCCCCCCCCAGCTCAGATTTACAACTAGCCAAGAAATTTTTTTTTTTTTTAAAAACGAGAATCCCTCGTCTTCTTCATCTGAGATTTAAAAAATTTCATGGATTTGTTATTAAAGCCAAAGCATTCTTCAACTGGAGAGAGAAAAATAAAACTCAAGTCCTGAATCTATCCTACAAATTGGAAAAAGCTCTCAGCTTCCATTGTGAGCATCATCAAAAGAAACAGATTGGCTTGATGCACAATTAATTGAAGCACCCATACGCACAGAGACACATAAAGATGACGACATGTGGCCGAAAAACCGCTTATGCACTTCTCTGCAACTCTCCTTGTGGATGCCCATATCATCACATATTTTTCTCTTCTTCGTTTTACTTTTGATGCAAGTCAATACGGAGCCGACTTGGGGCAAGCAAGCCCTCCTTGGTCCCTCCCTTCGTCTGTCAGACCCCAAGCAGGAACCGGGGCCAACGGAACTCTTTTGACTCAGCCTGCAACTGGTTTTGGGTCGAATACGTTGCTTCTTATTCCTTCATCTTCACGGCATTGGCCTTGTGGGTGCCGATGGTTTAGAACTCTAGAACTATATAATATGATGAACATTTTTCCTGTTCACGTCACAAATTGATATTGTATTGTCCAGGAACCAATTCACTAAATGGTTTTACTTGTTAAATGTAGGTCCAGGAGTGGCTTATAAATCCAAAAAGCCTTCTCCCACAAATGCCCACAGGACAAGGAGCATGAACTATGGACAAAGTACAGGCACATCAATATTGTCCTTGCTGATATTTAATTTTGAAGAGGATTATCATCACGGAAGGGTTAAATAATCCGAGAAGCTTCCAGTTGGATTATAGTGGATGCAGGTCAAGTTTGACCTGGCCAATACAGTCAGATTCAGGATTTGCCCAGCCCGACCTTTTGTCACCTTTTGTACTATTGCTTAAAGGGTACTGGAGCATAACTATCCCACTCAGGAACTTCCCCATGGTTCCCTCTGATTTGAGGAGAGAATGGAGGCAGTGAGAAGTTTTATATATTGTCAAGGACCTAGGTCACCCGTCACCTAAAAGTTTAAGCCGTTATGAATTGGTCCAGGAATAGCTTTATACCTTTAATTATATACGCAATGCAGATTAGAAAACTTACCAAAATACCCAACTCATTCCATATCCAACGCGAAAATGAGCCCTTCAGTAGAGATAAGAAGCAACTACTTTTAACCCCTTTCATGGCATGCATAAGAAACCTACGCTGATTTTCTGCATCTTCCAGATTAGCCCTGTGGATCTCAAGAGGAGCAACCTGGTTGATGTAATAGCACATAAGTAAATTTTTAGAGACATTTAAAAAAAAAAAGAAAGAAAGAAAGAAAGTGCATCAAAATCTAGAGACGAAAATATTAAATCAATAAAAAAAGTTGCACAAGATGATGAAATATTAAGTAAATACCAGCCTCACCAAAACCCACACTTCCATCTTCAAGAAATAGAGATAAAATAAAGCCTCCTCTATAGAATTCTTTCTGATCGTGACCAAGAGATGTTGAAGTTGGAGGAGCACATAGTGCAATTCTCCCCAAAATAATTGAGACTGTCTAACTCAATGTACAATTAGATAACTAACCTATATTGGGAGTACTATTTTATGCACCTTGAAGTAAAAGAAATCATCTTTTATAGAGCTTTGGCTAAGAGAAGCTGAGAGTAATCTTATTGTGGTCTCTGCTGTCTGAAGGGCAAACTTTCTTAGAATACTGAATCAGGATGCAAAATACATTAGCAAAAAGGTAAGAATCCAAATAACTCATACTACGTCTGAAGTAAGAACTGAAGGACTTAAACCTGTGAAAATTTGCGTTGCCATCAATGGAACTTTCAACTTCAATTAAACAGTCCTTGTCTTCCTTTTGTGCTGCAAATAAAGCATCCTCAAGTTCCATCTTTGTCTGGGCATCTGAGTGTTTTATGCTGCTAACACATTGATTTTATTTCAGAGGAGGACAGGACAAAAGGTACAGGGGGAAAAAAAATTATTCCAAGAAATGTCTAGATTCTTACCCATGAGCCAAGCATAACTTTCCAATTAAAATGTTATGAGAGGTGTAAAAATACTGATGCAATATACTGGGTTCAGTTTTATTTGCCAGAGGAAGAAGACCGAAAATTCCAAATCAAAACCTCTGGTTAAGCTGAAACAATACGATTACTACTTGATTCAAGTGTTCGGTAGTTTTATTCTTGTTAGCTTGTTTAGAGCATGAAACAAAAAGATAATCAACTTGCCTCCAATAACTATACATCTTGCTTGGTAGTTTAGACAGAGGAAGATGTCTACCTTCTTCTCACACTCTTATTTCTCTCTGAACTAATGCAGAATATCTCTGTCTTAAGAAAGTTATAGGATATACCATTTTCATAGGTTCATGGTTGTGTGAATTTAGATAATGCTTATCTCAGTGAAACATACAGCATTATCCAATCCAATTCAAACCCAATAAACTGAAAGATCCTCACTGATAACACTTACCTGTAGTAGGAGAGAGTTAATTAATCAGACTGTAAAGGTGTAATAGCACGGTCCAGTTCTTCTTGGATTCACACAGAGCATAATTAAGAGGATCTCTATCAATTCCAGACAAAGAATACCAGATCCAATTCCAAGTTACTTCTGCCAGGAGGAGCAGATTCAAACAAAGCATACCTCAAAGCTCAAGCTGAAGAATAGGATTTCTTGCACTGTGCACTACTTTGAGTTGCCTGATAAGCAGCATTGGAGTCGCCTGTGACCAATTTACTTCTAAATTGTGCTTCCCTCTGCTGAGTTCCTTCTAACCAAGCATTAAATTCAAGTTAATTCTACTAGGGGGAGGAGATCCAAGTCCAGTTCCCATTACCGATGCCTCTGAATTGTGCTTCCCATTGCCGAGTGACGTGATTGGTCCCCCACAGCAGCCATAAATCCTGAAATTTCACGCACACCCAACAATACGGTAAAACAGAGACGCAGCTCCGAGATTAGCTCTCACCAAGGAAAGGAGGGGTGCTCTCACTAGGGAGAAACCCAGGAGAGAAAAAGAACTCAAATTAATTCAGTAAGTTCCTATTTAACTTTACCTTTGGTTCCCACTTCACTGGACTTGTTTCCAAGAAGTATCATATTGAAAGTGATAAGTGCTAAGGAATGACATATTCGTATATTCTTATTTAATCCTATTGCCTCTCATAATTTCAATGACATCCAAAGAAAAGATCTTTGATCGAACTTCTTTCGGTCTCAATTACCCTCTACACAGTTCAGTGTGTATCAGTGTCTGCTTCACAATCATACCTTTGAGATGAAGCAAATTCCATTTGATTCTATATGTAAACGAACACCCTGCCCCAACAGTAATCTTAAGTAAAAAGAAGACGTGGGAAACAAAGAAAGGAGATCACGCCTACTTAATAAAACTGCGTAGCTATCTTCTGCCATCAACTCTAGATAATGCACTTTTCTACATTATAGCGAAATGACCATGGAAATGTAAAGCCAAGTGCATGCAGGTTCTCTTTATTTCCAAGCAATTGCAGATTACTTGATTAATTGCTTGACCTACTTTTCATCATCGCACAGGTTTGGTACAACATAGCTTCGAGAAATACAGTTAATTCTAGAGGTAGTACCCAACTGGAAGTGCATGGTGAGAGGATAATACAGAGAGATCCACCTCTGGAGTGGACACATGAATTGTAACCTTTTTGACGTTTTCCATGATGCCCTCCAACATAGGTTTTTGTATTAACACGATAGAAGCACAAAGTACATTACACAATATTCATAGTATATTAATAGGTACATCACACTTGCTATGTTTTAGTACATGAAACAGTAGACAATTGACTTGCCTCCGATAACTATACCGTGTGTGCTAATTGGTGTGTGTGAGAGAGAGAGAGAGAGAGAGAGGAAGAACTATCTCTTTATCTCTCGCTCTTGTTGCACCGTTCAGTAATGAAGGAAGATGTCTTTCTTCGTTTTAAGATACCATCTTAATAGTTTCATGGTTGTGCAAAACCTAAATGGTGTGTTGGATACTTGTACTGGTATGAATTGACTTCACCTTTTGCTGCTGCAAGAATAGGTATTTCTGACCTTAGTCTGTGACATAGTGGTAAATGTGTTGTCGAGGTCTGGATCTTCATGCAGAAGTTTGGTGTGTCTTCTGCAGGACAGATGAACCTCCAAGCTGCATACAGAACTTTGTCAAGAATGAGACACTGACTTGTTTGAAATTTTGAAATATCTGAAGTAAATGGGGTTGGGAAAAGGATTAAACATGTATTTGGGAAAAATTATCTTAGGAAATGTCCAGCATGTATGAAAGGAAGCCAAAATAATAAGTACAGAAATAAATAAAAATTCATTTTACTTGAGTCTATACCACAGCAATGCAGAGATTGAGCGAAGTATCTGATGAAAGTAAATGGGGTTGGGAAAAGGATTAAACATGTATTTGGGAAAAATTATCTTAGGAAATGTCCAGCACTTATGAAAGGAAGCTAAAATAATAAGTACAGAAATAAACAGATGTTCATTTTACTTGAGTCTATACCACAGCGATGCAGAGATTGAGCAAAATATGTCTGATGAAATGTCTGGCAAAGTTTACATGACTTACTTGTATTGTGTTTCGTGTGATCCAAACGAGGTTGCTGGTGAATGGTCCATTTTCGGAAAGCATCAAGCCATAAATAGACATATTGCCTCTAAGGCAAATTCAAGAAAGACCCTCATTTGGGCTATTTCTTTGGCTCAGGAAGCCATTTCTATAGACCTATAGAGCCATAGACCATTTATAGTCAGTCACAGACTCTAAAGACAGATGTATCTACGGCTAATTTCTTACCGCATAGACCAATGGGTATGATTCAGAGAAGGTGTTCAGGTGTAGAAATTCCAACGTACACTGAAAACTGTAGTGAATCTCACCACCTAAAACACCAAGTTTAGTGAGGTTTAATTTCTGGGTGTAGACGGTTTGTTATGTAAACACAGCCTAAGGTCTTACTCCTGGAGATGCCAGATAAAAGGTTGTTGTCAGAGAAACGATGATAGGGATATATATAGGTCCTGTTTGGTAAAATGAGGGATAGGAAGTATGATTGTAATTGAAAAAAATATTAAAAGAGTCTTTAATATGAGTAATTATTTGTTAGGCAAACCCATGGAGGTAGAATTAAGAAATACCACTTCCCCCATATATTCCTCAATCCCATAAACATAGATTTGCCTAATGTAACAAATAATCTCTCATACTAAACATTTTTTTAATAAATATTTTTAATCCCAATCTCAATCCCTCTCCCTCATTTTCTATGCTTCATGCCAAACAATACCATGGTAGTTTGGGTTGACTGAGAAACGATGACAAAATATTTGGCAAGGTTTTCACCTATATCTTGTCCTGGTGGAATACCATTTCAAATAAATGATGATCCCTCACAGAAGTAGAAAGAACTGTTTGAGTTGGAGATAATAGTGTAGGGAAACACTAAGTTGTGAAGGGAAAATAAATGGTCCTAGGACGTGCCATCACATATAGAGATGGCTGTATAATGTAGAAGCCACAACATCTCATTTACCAAGTATAATGATACTTACCTGCCTAAAAATGGCAATAATCAACAGATCATTTTACTTAGTTCAGAGGTTTTGAAGCTCCTACATTCTCGGAGGCTTTAGGCAAGACAAGAGATGAGGAAGGCTAACATGGGGCAAGCCCCAGCTAGCCAACCTATGACCCTCATGGTCAAACTCCCTGAAAGAAAAGCTTTAATCATCACAAAACAACCCATTGTGAAACAGAAATGCCCAGCTCTCTCAACTAAAGCTGCAAGCCTTGGCTTAGATTGACTCAGAAAATTCCCAGAGAGAAAAGCTGCAAAGGCAACAACCATGACAGCTCCAAACAGAGGAAGTAAATCTTGGGATGATCCTGATGGAGGAGAAAACATAATCTGAAACAGAGTTAGAGCAACTTGAAAGCAGCCGAGGAATTGTTTCGAAAGGCTTGAGGAATTCTTAGAGTTCAATCTCGCTGCTTCTAGCTCAAAATAGCTCTCATTCATGTATAAAGGCAGGAGGGGGTCACTAGAATATTGGTTTTGAGATGATGAGAAGGATCTCATTCTAGTGATGTAGCTAGGTGAGAAGGGTGGCACATTAGTGAAGTAATTACCTTGGGATTGCGATCTTGATGGTGCCAGGATTGTCCAACACTTACGAAACATTCTACAAAAGGAAACAGAAGGCATGAAAAACAGAGAAAGGAGATCAAACTCACACCTGCTTAAAGCAACTCTGCTACTATCTTCTGGTTATCATTTTTAGTTAGTGCAGTTTTCTACTCTATAACGAGGATGATAAGGAAGGATCTAGATAAAGCCAAGCCAAGCCAAGCCAAGCTAATCGCACCAAACTTGCAGGAAAATTATTGTTCATCTGTATATTCTCATTCCACTCACCCCCTCACCCCCACAACCTCTCTCTTTCTCTCTGAACAGTGAACACTTTTGGCCCCACGTGACATGGCTTGACTTGCCGCGTTAAAGTAAATATACATACATGATTGTGAAATTGATGCAAATGTAATTGGCGCATACAGTGATTTATCTCACAGTTAATAATGCGTATTAAATAATAAATATTGAATAAATTATATGTACATTATTTAAATTTTATTAAAATTTTACAGATCTCTTTCCCTTTTTTCCCCCTAAAATATATAGAAATGTTAGTTTCACATTAACTTTAATTTTATTAAAATAGTCACCATTGGCACACATTTATTTGTTAAAAAAATTGGATTGAAGTGTTAGAGTAGAATATTGTTTTTTCTTAAAAAGTTTGCGATATTCACTCTATTTTATTCCCTTGTTAAACAGAAATAATTCATAGTAATAAGTATACTGGAATCTTAAATAAATTAAAAATTATAATACACTAATTTTAAGACATATATATTGGATAACTTAATCTTGATTTCCAAGGCAACCATTATATTGACCTAAGTTGGTAATATCCAACGTCAAATACTATAAGATGCCATATTAAATTGTTCCAAGACACGCACACATAAAATTTTACCATTCATGTCATGTAATGAATACTGCATGAGAAAGAAAGTGCTTGGAAATGTCCTTTTTGGCTATTAAGAATTAAAAATCACGTTAAAAATCACGTTACCTTTCTGATGCAAAAAAAAAAAGAGTGCTATCCAGTACTTAATATAAAAATTGGTTTGATTTTTATTTTGATCTTAAATATAAGATTTTATTTATTTTCTCTCTTATATTTATTTATTTTTTTAAAGTAGTCCTTAGTATGTGGAATTGGAGAATACCACTCCCCAATCTCACCTCTATGGGTTTGTCTAATCTTATATAACAAACAATTACTTATAATAAATACCATTTTAATGATTTTTCTCAACAATTGTAATCTCAATCTCAATTCCTCATTTTCAATACTTCATACCAAGCGGACCAATGTGTCCAGGGATCTAAACCTCTTCTATTAAAAATCATGTTACCTTTCTACTATCAAAGAAAATCTACTGCCTCCGATTTTTAATGTAAAAAATTGTTTGTTTTGTATTTTGATTCTAAATATAAGATTTTAATATATTTTATTTCATATTTATTCATTTTTAATATAAAAATGGTGTTTTATATTTTGATTTCAAATATAAGACTTTAATATATTTTATTTTTTAAAATAATTCTTATAATAATGATAGTTCTAACTAATATATTTAATTAGTAAAGATATTTTAAGAAATACAATACTAATTTATTACAAATAACTAATTTAACTAATTTTTTAATCTATTCAAATTAGTTAACTAACTTTTATATTAAAAACTGGAAGTAGTATCATTTAATTAAGTAAGGACAATATCTAAGTCGTTTTTTATTTTATTTAACCATATCCATCATCCCCTTTAAACAACTAAAATTAGATCCCACATTCCTTTATTTCTCAATACACCGTTGATTTTAATGAATTAACCTTCATCATTATTAACTAAACCAGTGGCTGAGGTTTTGTTTTACTTAATTAAAAGGTGCATTTTTTTGGTGGTAGAGAGGCAGCATGTATTTTGGCAGCAGAGCTTCAGAATCCACTGTTTCTCCTGTATATGCTTTTTCTTTATCAAATCTCACTGCTTATAAAGGAAAGAGGAGAAAGGAAAAGGGAAAGGTGGGGCATTCTTAAGACTTAGGCATTAAGTTGTAATTAACTACACTATCTATGGTCAAATCTCAAAGTCCCTAGAAAAAATTGCAAGTAAAAACCCTCAAATATATAAAATTGCAAAATGAACATTTAAATTAGTAAAATTACTATCAAAAGATCAGTTCTTAAATATGAACTATAAAATGTTAAAAAAAATAAAAAATGCCCTTCTGCTTGTCTTTTTTTCTATCTCATTTTCTTCTTCTCTTTCCTTCTTTCTGTACGACTCAGTAGCGAGCATGATAGAAACAAGTGCATTGCATTGAGGTGCTACCAGACTATTGCTATAATCAGTTCTGGGTTTCTTCATAAAGAAAAGAAAATAAAAGTAGTTTATATCAATTTCCTTCCGAGGGAGGAAAAAAAATGAAAATGGATGGACGCGAATTGTGAAAAGCTCTCGTGGGGCTACGCTTAGATTTGAGACCCACCTGTATAGATAATATATTATGTTATAATAATTTATTTATAATTATAATATGATTCCTCAATTGAAGCTAGCCTCAGGGGCAACACAAAAAGGACAACTTAAGGTGCTAGTAAGTATGAATTGTGCATTTTTTATTTTGATTTTTGACATGGTTTAAATATAACTCGATGATTTGAATTTTATCAAGTTTAAGTTAACGTGGATAGTTTTTCAACACTTATTATTTTTTGTACTAAACTTGTCATTAATAACTAAATTATAAAAATAATGCCAATTTATGGCAAAACTTAAGCTAATGTGAATATCTTTTTAATATTTATTATTTTCATACTAAACTTATCGTCGACAGCTAAATTGTGAAAATAATGTTAATGTCTGCTAAAATTTAAGTTATTGTGATAGTTACTCAACACTTGTTATTTCTCATATTAGATATGTCATTAGCAACTAACTTGTGAAAATAATGTAAACTTAAATTATTGTGAATAGGCATTCAACTCTTGTTATTTTTTATACTAAATTTGTCGTTGACAATTAAATTGTGAATATAATGTTAATTTTTGCTAAAACTTAAGTTAGTGTGAACAGATTTTTAACACTTATTATTTTCTATCCTAGACTTATCATTCACAACTACATTGTCATTAAACAACTAAAATTAGATCCCACATTCCTTTATTTCTCAATACACCGTTTAGTTTAATGAATTAACCTTCATCATTATTAACCAAACCAATGGCTGAGGTTTTGTTGTTAATTAATCAAACGGCGCATTTTCTTTGGTGGTAGAGAGGCAGCATGTATTTGGGTAGCAGAGCTTCAGAATCCACTGTTTCTCCTATGTATGCCTTTTCTTTATCAATGTCACTGCTCATAAAGGAAAGAGGAAAAAGAAAAAGGGAAAGGTGGGGCATTATTAGGACTTAGGCACTAAGTAGTAATTAACCGCACTATCTGTTCCTATGGTCAAAACTCAAAAGGTCCCTATTCGATATTAATAACCTCATATTTGGTTTAGGGCACCATATTGAAAATGATAGGTGCTAACTAATCATAAGTTCATGGATCTTTAGATTAATCCCAAAGAAGAAGATCTCTGATGGAACTACTTTAGGCTTAATTTCCCACCACACAGTTCAGAGTCCATATTTGGCTCTTCCTCCCAGTCATCATCACAATCTTTGATCTGAATCAAATTCCATTTAACTATACAAACGAAAACTTGCTATCTGCTGGTATAAACTCTAGTTGGTGCAGTTTTCTACTTTCTAACCAAGCTGAGTGAGCATGAATGTTCTAGATAAAGTCACTTTGCAGATTACTCGATTATTTGCTTGACTTTAGTGTTAGTACCAGGATAATGGCTAGCGACGTTGCCGGGATCTCTTTTATTATTTGCTTCATCATCATCCCTCTTTAAACTTTTATTTATTCCTCGGGGA